AACATATTTTAATATTATATATGACACATATTATAAATTTCAATAAATACAAAAACACAACAAAAAAAAGTTTTTCTTCTTAAAGTGTGTTTCTCAATTTTGAGTGTAGGCAGTAACTCTGCTCGTCTCCTTAAGAAAATATAAGAAGCGTGATTTAATCCTAAAAATACTTTCGAAGACTCATAAAATGAAGTTTTATGGAGTAGTAGTCGACTTTATCAGCGCTCATAATTAATATATTTCATTTCACAATAAACCCGGAAATTTCCAGAGATTGTCAATTTATCACCTTTCAGCGCCCGTTTCGAGCGACCCTGGCTAAGAATAGAAAAAGAGGTATACTGGAAAGATATCTACAGTCGGCGCGACCGTCCTTGTCGTGTTTGGCATCCCTAATGGCATCTTCCTTTACCTTACTAATCATTTTCCCATAAAACTGTCCTTATCATCTGCTCTCTCTCTTCCCTTTTAATTTCCGCCGTCGTGGAAAAGGACGACCATAGACCTTACACAACGACTTAATTGCATTCTTTTCACATACTAATACTGGATTAATCGACAGCTTGACGGGACTGTACTTATATCTGGGTCATTCAATGGAAAAAATCAAAAATTCGGTGGCGGACAATGCAAACAGAGCTAATAGATGATTGACGATGTTCTGTTGGGCTGGGCTTCGATTAAAACATATAAATATGATACGTTTGTTAAACTAAATTTGATTGACTATATGTATTTATAAGTTACCTTTATTCTATATACAGGGGCGACAACAAAATCTAAACAAATCATTTAAGATACATTTATTGAGGAAAAAATGCAGAAAATATATGCTGATATTTCCATCATTCGTTTAACTATTACTTTCATTATTAAACTGAAACTTTCATAACTGATGATGTTTTTGGAGTTACTTAGAAAGAATACCTACATTAATTTATCTTTTTTAAATTACCTTACTGAGAGATATAAATCGGAAAATCGTAGAGATTATTTAACGAATCCTCTTTTTTCAATTTAATATCTAGGAAATATTTCAAGTATTGAAACGGTTTCTTATGTCATGTTTAAGTTATATATTGTTATTAATTGATTAAATGGAATAAATCACAATTGATTATAATAAGAATTACATTTTACATATATCTTATATAGAGCATTCCACGTTAAGAAAATAACATTGCTAAGATAGGGCCATGTGTTTCATATGGACGATAGAAGCGCGGCGATGTCACGACAAACACAAGCACGATTAAGGGTTGTATAATTTGTATTTTCGATTCCAAAGGCACGAATTAAATTAATGGTTTTTAACGTAATTTACCAAAAGTAAAAATTATAGTAACAACAGTTTATTTGTTGTTCGGTGAGAATACCATATGCCATGAATCATAGAAATCAGTAGAAAATATTGCTTAGTTAAATCATGCATTTTGCCAGCTATTAAGGATTTCTTAATATTGTTCTGAAGCTATTTTCTTGTGGCATTGTAAATTAATTACTATTTAACTGGGAATAAGCCACAATTAAAGATAAAAATACGTTTATTGACGTTTTAATTTCCACTTCGGAAATCGTTCTCAAAATACAAACAGTAAATTAAACACATTTTGTTTTTTGTTACATAGTGAAAAATACTTCTAATAATTTAATTTTATCTGACTCATTTATATTGACAATTCAGACATACATTATGCATTTTAAAGTAGAAGACTTTAAAATGATATTGCCAATATTGTTGAGTTGCGCTCCTGGGACGACTTTACTTATAAGATAGTTCATTCGATTACATGAAATCAACTTTAACTTGAGAATATCTGTCAGAAAAAAATCATAGCATGTAATTCGTCTTTAAAAAGACAAACACATGACATGATGACAGTAAAATTCTCCTGTTAGTGATTCCATAGTAAATTATGAGGGAAAAAACCAGGAAAAAAACCTCATAATACTATCCCAACATTGTAAGTATTTGTTCGTGAATTTAGTTTACCTTCAACAAACATCAAAATTCTGATTTTATATGTTAAGTTATTTAAAAAACATAAATGATGTATCCTCTATATGTTACTGACTTACTAATACTGGTATTTTCTTATTAATAACTTCCTCTTTCAATATTGGTAACCAGATCCTACTACCTTCTGCCGAGGAATTTGCGACACAATTGGCCTCATTTAGCATAATTAGAGCCGCTTCTTTGATTTTTCTTTTTTTACCATCCGTTTCTTTTAGGACTACATTTGAATTATTCCATTGAACCCTATGTTTATTATCCCATGCGTGTTTACATATTTGAGATCTATCAAATTCTCTATTTTTAATATAAGATCGATGTTCACTTATTCTAACATTTAATGGCCTTGATAGTTCACCTAAATAAAACTGATCGCATTCACAAGGTATTTTATAAATGCAATTCTTTGTCCTTTTTTGTTCATTGTTAGGTTTGGTTTTGGACAAAATAGATCTCAACGTGTTTGTTGTTTTGAATGTTGTTGAAATGTTGAATTTATTTCCTATCCTTTTAAGTTTTTCTGATAATCCTTTTATGTACGGTATTGTTATTTTCCTCATATTATTCCTTGTGTATGCTGTAGGATCTCGTTCTAAGTTGTTCTGTTCTATTCGATCGATTGTTGAAAATTCCTTATTTATAAACGATAAAGGATAATCATTTTTTAATAAAACAGATATTAACAAATGTTTCTCTTCCAAGAACGAATTTTCGTTAGAACAAGTAATTTTGGCTCTATCGTATAAGGATTTAATTATTCCCTTTTTTACATTAATATTGTGATTTGATTTGAAATTTAAATATTTATTGGTGTGTGTTGGTTTTCTATACACCTGATTCTCATATCCAGTATCGTTCTTAGAGATTAAAACATCCAGAAAAGGTAGCGTGTTCTTATATTCCTTTTCCATGGTAAATGTTATTGTCTCTTCTTTGTCGTTTATATCATTTAGGAATGTGTCCAACAACTCGGATCCATGAGGCCATATTGAGAATACATCATCTACATACCTCCACCATACTGTGGGTTTGAAATTTTGTTTAGAAATGATATTTGTTTCAAAATCTTCCATAAATATATCGGCTAAGAATGGAGATAAACTTGAGCCCATTCCTAGACCAAAATTTTGTTTATAGAATTCATTATTTAGTTGAAAATATGTATTATCAGTACATAATGTTAATAACTCCATTATAGCCGATATGTTTAGTCTTGTTCTAGTTGCCAATGAATCATCACTCTCTAATTTTGTCTTGACTATACTTAAAGTCTTATTTAATGGCACATTCGTAAATAAACTAATTATGTCAAAACTTACCAAAGTATTATTTGAATTAAATTCAATATTTGATAATTTATTTAAAAAATGTTGTGTATTTTTTATGAATGTGTCATTTTTATTTGTAAATGGTTTTAAAATATTTAATAAAAATTTTGATAGTTCACTACAAGGAGAATTCATGGTACTACAAATGGGTCTAAGTGTTATATTCGTTTTATGAATTTTCGGTACTCCATAAAAATGAGGAGTCTTACTGTAATGAGATGTAATTAATTCTCTCTGATAACTTGTTAAAACATCTTTAAACTTGAATAAAGTTCTATATATTTTGTTTTTCAAAGGCTTTGTTGAATCTTTCGTTAATTTTGTATAAGGTCCGTTTATTAATAGATCTTCAATTTTATTTTCGTATTAAATTTTATCCATTATCACAGTTGCATTCCCCTTGTCTGCTGGTAGGATGATTATGGAGTCGTCATTTTTTAAAGTTCTTATAGCCTTTAGTTCCTCTTTGCTTATGTTTTGTTCAATTTTAGTAGATTTTTCCAATTCAAGTTTACATAACACTCTGTATTCTTCCTTTTCGTTGGTTGTTATTATTTTCCTCATAATTTACTATGGAATCACTAACAGGAGAATTTTACTGTAATCATGTCATGTGTTTGTCTTTTTAAAGACGAATTACATGCTATGATTTTTTTCTGACGGATATTCTCAAGTTAAAGTTGATTTCATGTAATCGAATGAACTATCTTATAAGTAAAGTCGTCCCAGGAGCGCAACTCAACAATATTGGCAATATCATTTTAAAGTCGTCTACTTTAAAATGCATAATGTATGTCTGAATTGTCAACATAAATGAGTCAGATAAAATTAAAATATTAGAAGAATTTTTCACTATGTAACAAAAAACAAAATTTGTTTAATTTACTGTTTGCATTTTGAGAACGATTTCCGAAGTGGAAATTGAAACGTCAATAAACGTATTTTTATCTTTAATTGTGGCTTATTCCCAGTTAAATAGTAATTAAATATTAAAGATTTAAAAGCAAATATGCGGACCGCTTGTAATGCATATATCTAATAACTTATTGCAACTTAAAATAATACGGTGTGCGTATGTCAGCGATTTTATGTCATTCTCTGACTACATAATGATAATAAGGCTTTGTGGTTCTTTAGTAGTTATTCTGACTTTACAGTTAAATGTTAATTGAAAATGGAAATTCAAAAATTAAGCCAAGTGTATATCTTGGACATCCGTGCAAAAGAGAGTGCCTGAAAGTTTTGGCAACACTGATCTCCATAAGCGTAATGTTATTTTCTTAACTTGAAACAAAGTATAGAATAGAAATATGCTTTATTGTCACTGAAAATTGTACAATGTTATGGACAAATCTTACAAAAAGTCAAAAAACATAATATGTTATATATTATATATAACATAACACCGGTGGTGTTATTTCTGTATAACATAACTTGATTACCTTCTTATTACCTAATTCTTATAAAATGGACATTGTTTGTTTTCTCTCCTTACACTTTATATACATCTTATCCTGATAATAACAAACACAAACAAATATTTAATGTGGTGTAGTCAGTCCTTCTAAGTTATGCGCGTACGTATGAGGCGCATAGTGCAAGAGTGACCTAACTCGTAAAAACTAATTTTGAGAAAAAGACGATTTAAGTTTTATTCAATTTGACCGCTCTCTGTTTCTCCAAGAATTATTAACCTTAATTTTCAATTTCAACACCTTAAATTAAGTTAGTAAATTTCATTTTACATTAATATCACAAAAAAGTAAAATTTTCAAAATATTTGGAAAAACAAAGTGTGGGCCACTGTTGCACTAACATTATATAAATAAAAAAAATAATGTGCGTTTTTGCATAAAATTTATTTTTACCATACTTGTATACAAAAAGTGAACAAAAGCCAAAACAATGCCCTTAACTAATTTTTTTATAAACATTTATTCCATCGTTTGTTCGGAATCTTCTATAGCGTAAAACACCTTATTTTCTCCATCATCATTATTTTGTATACGTTGATATAAATTTTTAACATTTAGATTGTTATAAAAGTTATATAAATAAGGTGGTACATACACTAACAAATCTTGTATATTGCTAAATTTAGCTGCTTCAATGTTTCTGGCTTTTGGGTATAAAAGTGGAAGTTTTCCAATACACATAGATGTATTGCGCTTCGTAATGTCTATATAATTTAAAGTAACCTCCGGATTATTAGATTTTTTATAATACAATTGTAATTGTTCAGTTAAAGAGCATCGCAACCATTGCATTTTTAACCAGTTTACCGATTGACCCTCGACAGTCTTTCTACGATTAGTAATGGTTTTCTCTAATGAAACACTACTCACAAAATCGTTGCTGGTCATTTCTACTACTGTGAATGGTTTTTTGGCTGTCCTTATCACTCTGGTTCAATCTCCGGGAACATAAATATCATTAAAAGCTTTCTTGTTCTTCTCTATGATTCCAAAGTCACGGCCTCTTGAGGTCCTCTAGATGCTATGGCTTCATGCCAAACGTACATGTGGGTCTGATTACTTGACAAGTTGTGGATACCTGAGCAGTATGTCCACAACTGCCTTTTGTAGTAACATATCCCAGTTGAAAAATGAGGTGTAGGTAATGTAGACACGAGATCAAAGGCTACTACAGTGAAATCGTTTTCAGCTATTTTATCCAATTCCGAATCCAATGCCATCCCAGCATGTGCGCTTTCTGCCTTTCGAATATGCAATTATTTTTATAACTTTAAACTTGCCAAAGAAGTTTCTGTTTTTATTTTTTCTTCAAATTCGTCACATCTTCTACAACTATCATATATAGTCGCATGAAAAGTTAAATTAATTTTTTTTTCTGAAAACATCCCTAAAAAAAATTGTGACGCTGGCTCATTTGTTTCTTGTTGACAGATTTAAAATGGAACCTAAATAATAAAGATTAGGATTTTTTTAGAATAATGTGACTGATATTTTGTAAACCTCGAAATATAATGAAAAATATTCTCAAGTTTCTCCTAACTTGTTTTATTATGAGGGTCCTTTTTTCCCCTTTTATCCTTAGATGTGCCACCTTACTCTTTATTACACTGTGTAAGTCGACTATCTGAAACACTCAACACTTTTTAAAAAAAAAACTCCTTGCAAACTGGAATATCTAGTTGTAATGTCCTCTCGTAGGAGTCACTATCCGGGTAGCTTTTAGACAGTCAGAGACAGAGTTCAAAACAAAAATAAAACTTTATTGTCTTCCTTAAATTAAATTGACAAAAATCTTATGTACATATTTACAATTTGGTTTAGTCTTCTCAGTACCTGGCCTATTTATTCAAATTAAGTTTGACCTTGTCATATGAAATTAGTTTTATCGGCAAGCGAATGTGTACTTGAAATTTTACGGGAACGTTGTATCTATTTAATAACAGCGGACGATAGATACAAGGAAAGGAAAGGAACTCAACACGTCCTTTAAATGATTCGGGTTAACAGGACACTCCTCGACAGTCTCAACACGACTGCTTCAGAGTATGGGTAGTGAAGAGATCAACACGCTCTTCGGCTAACGGCGGTATGGGACGGAACAACTTGTGAACTCAACACCTCCACAAACCGGGGTAGGAAAGAAGAGAACCTTCAGTCAACACCTGTCAATTCCCCTCTATGAGGAAATGTTGCGGTTTATATAGCGGAGCTTGGTAATTAGTTTTGCCCTTTCTACTGTCGATATACTCCTACTTCATGGGTTGGTTCGCGCGCACGCTGGTTTAACGGTGATGGCTTGGACTCATCGTTACATAGTCATGTTTCTCGTGTCAAATAATATTGTCCTGTATATTTTCTGGAGTCACTTTGAGCAGTATTCATTCATTTTGAAGTAAGTTTGATTCGGAAGATTAACGAGTTTATGGTATTTTTTAAAACAACGACAGTCCGATGCATCAAACTGTTTGGCAGCAACTTCATTACTCTTAATGTTTGTATACTCACGTTCACTATTTTGTAATTTTTTTTTATATTACGTTGCCACTGACTTTTATCTGCCAATTTTCGGCGAGCACCACGTTTCATACTTCTTAGAATTTTTCCAGGATTCGCAATATCGTTAGACTGAAACTTGCTTTGTAAATTCTCATCAGTCACCAATACAATTTCATTTTCAACTAAAACAAAGTATATTAGTTTCTTGTAAACGATTATAATAATAAAATACTTGTACTTTTTTCACTTGATGAATCTTCCATATCAAAAGGAACGTAACTGGAACCTGAATCTGCATACGGCTCATCAATACTAGAGACGTCACTGTCATCAAAAGTGTTATTACTTTTGCCTGAAAGAGATAAGCTAGAATAATTCAGTCGTGTAGTAATATATACTTTTTAACACCTTATTCCAGTATATCTACTTTTAATAATTACTTAAGAAAATGATATGAATAATATATTTACCTGATATGGATGAAATATCCAGAATACAACTTTTAAATGACTAAACACAAAGAATTAAAGAACATTTTTTTTATTTCAAATCCTTTATAAAAAGTATATAATTATTTTAGGTAATTTTTTTTAAACAATTAAAGCGTACACGAGCTGTTAAAAATCAAATAATAATTGTATGGTTAAGAGATAGGCTACTAGTGCACATGAGAAACGGAAACACTTCGACAGGCATGAACGTTGGGCTATTACTGCCATATTACTGCACGACCGTTTGTCAACAAATCATAATAAGCCAAAGTGACCTTGATCATTCCTATACCGGCATTTTAATTAAATCGACGTGGACCATTAATGCACACGATAGATTATTACAAATACTAATGCTTGGTGTTATTAACTCAAATATCATTTTTTTTTTAGTTGGGCCACTCTTGCACTATGCGCTTCATATATTTTAGCGATAAATTTTTGTTTATATAGATTCTGGCTATTAGTTACATTGTAATTTAAAAGGGCAAAACAAAAAAAATGTTTTTTGCGTCTCTCTGTACAATTTTATAAAAATTTTCTTTTATACAAATCATCTGCTTTCAATATCAAACACAAAAAATAAAGATTTATCCAATTTGGTGCAGTCGTTTTGAAGTTATGCGTATACAAACATTTCGGTGATTTACTTTTATTTATATAGATTTTGTATAATATTCAACTTTCTGTAATTATATAAAATATAAAACATACTTTACTAAAACTATTAAAGACGAACTTGTATTATTTTGGTAGTTTAAATAATTGTGTATGCATTTTGTAGAATTAAATTAATTTAGTTTTAATAAAACTGCATGTGAAATGGCTATTAACGCAATTTGGCTTGTGCACAGAGTAATTATGTCGTTGAACAAGAAGTTTTTATGATCTTTTTTCCAGCGCCACCATCATGAATATCTCATCAACGATTACTTCGTCGTCGAGCTCTCCAAAAAGACTAAAATTCCCGTGTACTTTCCTTTCCGATTTCCATTTCCATCTTTCACGCCTAAATATGGATGAATAATTCACTTACCGCAAGAACAACAACAACTTGTGCACTGCAAACATGGATACTACTACGTCCATTTCAGTTTGTTCTAAAAGCAAACAAATCACTAAAGCAATACGACATTTTGATTTGAAAAAGACAGACAATATTATTAAGTAGTATTTTGTACTGATTATATATGTCACGCCGAATTACTGTTATTTGTTGATAATTCCAACCATTTCCGTCTGATTATTTATTACAGATTTTATAATATTTTTAGATGTTAAGAAGTTAAAATTAAGAGCGTTGATTGAGCAATTTTTTTTAATTTGCACTGAAGGACAGCCAACTCTATCAACTTTTGTAAATAATTGTAAAATATAAGTCAAAGTGAAACTAAACACGTACAAAATAAAAGAATCAAAGAACCCACCTGAGCTTAACTTTCTAGTAATATTTCCGAAGGCGATGTTAATAATATTTTTGTATCGAACCACATTTTTTATGTACGTATTTTCCTACTAGCCGATTCTTCCCATATAATTTGTAAATCTCTCCAATATTAAGACTATGTATGCTGCTGCAGGGGGCGCTTCTCTCGCTAGCAGACAGGCCAGACAAAAGCAAAAGCAGAACAAGCAACGGCAGCAAAAGCAGAACAAAGCAACAGAACTAGCGTCGAAACCGCCGCAAGCCAAAAATTTTCAAAATTACACAGATCCATTAGTTCCTAGGCTTTCTCGAGTCGAAAGGGGCACACTAAAACCGGCTCCTCCAAATGAAAGGCGACATTCAGCTTCTAACTACCACCTTAAAGAACCGCAGCATAGATCTCGAATTCGAGAAAGCCCTTCGATATCGATTCCAGTACAAAACATACCCGCACAACAACCCCCGAGTCCCCAACACCATCCTCCCCATTTACCGTTATTTTCCACACCTTCTCTTCAAAGTCAACTGCCGCAAATTTACATTCCCGAAGATGGAAACCTGGAAAGGAGGTGTAGTTTCGTTCGACAGGTCGAGGAGATGGAGAAACACCAGGAGCAAGGCTTACTTGATAACTGCAACCATATTTGTAACTTCGAATTTAAGGATCGTCAATGGGATAAGTTTTATACAGAGTACGACAGGGATGCGTTCGGAAGTTTGGACTATCCGTTTTCTGAGGTGACATTTTATATTATTTTACATTAATATTTTTTACATATAAAAAATAAACTTATAGTGTATATGTCCGGAGTCAGACGTGCGTATATATATATATATATATATATATATATATATATATATATATATATATATATATATATATATATATATATATATATATATTCAGAGCAATACTAATTGAAAATAATACAATATCTTTTCGCGTACCTTTACGATTATGATTACGATTTAAGAGCCAATAGTGAAATTGTTAAATAAAATATTTCTGAATAAATGTGTGGTTTGTACAAAGATATTTCGAGGGAGATTTGATAAAAGCTAAGCTCCAGCCAAACAGTTTCAGAACAAGATGACAACCTATAGGCTATCTATTACTACAACTTTTCCTAACGTGTCTCGTATCTTTTTCTTTTCTCTCAGTATTGTTATTTGTGCCTTAATCTCACTTTCGGCTAGTTCTCAGATAACGAGCTATCTGTCAGCCACAAATCTCAGCGGACTGCTGTAACTGAGTCTTTTTCTTAATTAACTTCACCGTCTTAATTGGTGCTCTGTCTTTAAAACGAAGCGGAAAGCGAAGATGTCAATTACGTGAAAAAAGAAAGCTCTGTTTTATTTTAATAGAAGCGTGAAACATAATAAAAATACATTCATTAGGCGATTTCCTTAAAAATGGGTTTTTTGGAAGACAGTATTTAGTTTTCAGTTTCTACAGTGTGATTATTTGGATTTTAAACATACCTGTAAATGTAAAGTTATATAATCTAGATATTTTAAGAGAGAGCATAACTAACTCAGTAGAATATTACGAAATACGAAGAGACCAAATTACCACTAAACCTTTAAAAAGCATACGAACAAGCTGAATTTCACTTATCCTGTGAATTTTGGGACCTCAAAAAAGTTCCAAATAAGTTTTTTTATTTCTACCCTCGGGCTTCCATCTTAATGTTATGTTATGATTTTACATAAATAGGAAACATCACAAACTACTACTCACCAAACCAAACATTTTCTAAGGTTGTATTCCCACAGTCGAAAATATTTCATGTTTTAACAGTCTATATTTTGGCGAGAGCGCCTCCTGATAATTATTTCGATTTTGGTGGATGGTCCATAATCCAGTTTGCCCGACAGATTTTTTAAAATTACGTTTTTAAGATATCTCATTACCACTTAAACTTCATTTATTGTTATCTGTGAATCAATACCACAATTGTTACCGGGTAAATCAGTAAAACTAGTATTTGCAAAAAATAAAGACAAACAGAACAAATGTAAAAATATCGACAACAAAAATGCAACGATTTGGAAGGTTACCATTTCGTAAAATTTAGTCTATTCTTTATTCATGCCCTCCAACTGTCCTTAAAGAAAAGTTCTAATATAAAGGAATCCGATATTACTTAAAATCTGCTTCAATTTAAGGATTGTTCTGGCAATAATAGCGTATTTGGTTTTATTTTTGTTAAAAAATCTGAGATTTTGACAAAATAAAACGAACTTTTTTTAAAACTTGTTTTCTTTTTCTTTTCTAGTGAAATGGGCTTGGTTTATGGTTTTGGTTGCACTACCTCTAGAACTGGAAGATGTGGGCGATAATTTCTTGCGTGTAGTACGTACATCTATAAACTTTGACTTAATTTAGATTGTTTCGCTAGTAGTTGTAACTCTTGTCTAGCTGTTCTTAACTTGGATTGTTTCCCTTGTCCTAAATTGTATTTTCTTGTTTATTTACTTACTGAATCTTTACTGATTACTGATCTTTGTGTGGAAGATTCTGTTATGGTTTTCTGTTTGTGGTTTTTGCTTGTTCCCTCCTTTAATTATGTGAAGTTTTTGACTTTATTGCTGATATTAGTTTTTAAATTTTTCATCTTGTTGAATATTATAGTTGTGCAACTTAACAACGTTATGACAGCACTTTGCCAACACAAAAATCGCTTCTTTTACTTGCTTCATTATTAATTTAAGGTATAAGGAAGTGGTTTATCTTTAATACAAATAAAAATGAATATAAATTGTCAGAAATGTCTTCGTTTAGGATCTGGATATCTTCTTAACCGTTTGAATTTATTTTCCTTTTGTTGATGTCATAAGAAGCTGTTTGTTCTTTCCAGAACCTTTAATTTTATTTCATTAAGCTGTAGGTTTTAGGCTTATAATATTTACAATATTTGTACTAAAATATTGTCTGCGTCCATGCTTTGTTTGATTTTATATAGGCTGTTGCCTTCATTCTCTCATCCCAACAGGGATAATTGTTAAACCCATCTTTGCGAATATATTTTAAGGGTATTTATTTAGTGGGTCCCTTTTTTATATATACTTGTACAACTGCTGAAAGTTGACTACTTCTTTTACTTCCTTTTCATTAAACATGACTCTGTCTGTTTTTCAATGTATCTCCAGTAAGTTGTTATATCGATTTCGTGGTTTTTCTACTGATCGTCTTCCTATTGAGGAACCGTTTCTGGTCGTCTTGACTTCTCTATTTATTGTTATTTGGCTTATGAGGTTCTACTTATTCTACTCTTCTATTTCCTACCCAGTTCTTGATGTTCTTCACCTTGCATCTACGTCGAATGTCTGTACTTCTAGGTATGTCTCATACTGTCTTACCATCAATGTTTCTAAGTGTTTTCATATCTGCTGTTTCTAACATCCTTTTTATCCTCTTTGGTTTGGGTTCAGAGTCTTCCTCTCCTAGATGAATTGCGGGATCTACCGCTAACGGGTTTCGTCCATCCTTTTAATTTTATATGAACCCTAAAATCTGGGGTAGCCACTTTCGCCATACACACCGTAGCGAAGATGTTCTTCTTCGCCGTGGATACTGTTGTAGTCTTTATCCGTGACCGTGGATAAGGGACCCTAAGCAGGTACTAGTTTCCCGGGTCAGCAAACTCCTGGAATCGCGGAGGGCAGGGATTGATTTACTTTCCCTGGTAGGACTGTCCAAAGGAGTTCGTATACGCTAGCCTGGGTATCAATAATTACTTTTATCTATATATCTGTCTAATTAGCCTTAAACGCCCACTCTTGGGCATAGGCCTCCCCTGTTAATCTCTATTGGTCTCTATTTTGGGCAATATGCACCCAGTCCTTTGCTACCGTTCTCTTAAGATCGTCATTCCATCTCATTTGTGGTCTTCCTCTTTTTCTTTTCTTTTCTCATGGTCTCCAGTGTCGAATTCGCTTATTCCATCTTTGATCTATGAGTTTCTTTTCCTATCTTTAAGACCGATACCCAGCATCTGTCTTTCCATTGCTCTTTGTGTTTTGGATATCCTGTCGATATTCTCCTTTGTGAAAGTCCATGTTTGTGAGCCATATGTGATAACTGGTAAAATGCACTGGTTAAATACTTTCGTTTGCATATATTGAAGGAACTTTTTCTTTTTTTAAAATATATGATAGTTTACCAAATGAGGCCCATGCTAGTTTAGTTTCTTCGTTTTATTTCTTCTGTTTGATTGTCACTGTTCAGATTTATTATCTGTCCTAGGTATATGTATTCTACCACCTGCTCTAATTTATTCTGTTTGACTACTATTTTTAATTGGTCTTCTTGGTTTTTTATAGTCTTAGTTTTACTATAGTTCATCTCTAGACCTACCTCTGTCGCTTTTCTATCTAGTTCCTCAACCATCTTCTGCAACTCTTCCTTCTTATCTGTTATCAGGACTATATCGTCTGCATATTTCAAGTGGTTCAAAAGCTTTCCATTTATTTTTATTCCGTATGTATCCCATTCTAATTTTTTAAATATGTCTTCCATAGCCTGATTGAACAATGTTGGCGAAATGTATCTGCCTGCCTGATTCCTCTTTCGAATTTTATTGGTTCTGTAGCGTGTTCGTTCGTCAATTTTATTGTGGTACTCGCATTTTTGTATATGTTTGTTAATAGGTCCGTGTAC